GGGGGGGGGGGGGGGGGGGGAAAGCGTGTCGTCTGCATGCTCGACAGCCCTCTCCAGGCGCATTTGGTGGAGACCACCTCGAAGGCATTCTCTTTGCCAAGCTCCATAGCCATCGTAATCACAAAATGCCGCATTCGTGGCCTGACCTGTAGCAGGTACCAGGTTATGCCTTGCGTCAGCTTTTTGAAGCGACCAAGAAGTGCCTAGGTGTGAAGCTACTGGCATTGGCGACTGAAGGGCTGCCTTCGTCAGTCAGTGTGAGCGTGCACCTCAATCCGATTCAGGATCACTGCCGAGATTGTTCCCAAGGAAACGATCCGAGTGCTCCGGCCTATCAGCTCTAAGGAACAATGCCACAGCATGGCGACTGCCAGGGGCCAGTCCATACCTGCCGCCAGGTGATTATTAGCGAGAGTTTGAAGCTGTTGAACTGCGACCGCATCTCACTCTTCGTCTACGACAAGCGCATCGAGATGCGACTTGACCACTTGAACAAGATGCAGACAGTTCATGACTTGGTGCACTGGCAAGGCTTGTGCTGAACGCCTCTAACCTGGAGCATCCAATTCGGGTGAGGCCGCCGGCTTGTCTTGACAGGGTCGTCTCGTCTGCTTGTCTCCCGTGTAGCGACCGCAATCCTGAATTATGCAGTGTGCAAGAGCTTGTTTTGAATGCCAGCTGGTGGGAAACCTTCGGCTTGACCCACACCCCAAGCCAACCACACAGAGCTTTACTGCCTGATACAAGTTGGAGGCGAGTATGACAACACTGAGGCGTAACTATTCAGGTCAGGTTAGAAGCGCGTTTGCTTGGGAGGGAAGGAGGGGAGGAGTGCAGAAGAAAGCAGAAGAGAAGTTTGCAGTCCTTTTGGTGAGACAGTCGCCGTCGATTCAGACCATGTTCGCTCCCAGGCCTGGGCAGGGCATCTCTGGCAACGTTTTCCGCACGAAGCCACCAAGCCGCACCGTCAGACTATCAGATATTGGACTCGAAAGCATCGCTGTGCCGTGACATTGCGGGATATTGCGGGTGTGTTCTGCTACGACTCGCCGATTACTCGCATGTTGATAGACTTGATAGTTAGTGGAACAGAGGACTTGGCAGCAAAGCCAGGGAGTCGTGAGTGTGCAGCACGGGTACCAAGGCAGTCAGTGAATATCGCGGTGCCTTTGCCGCATCGGGAACCTCAGAGACCTGCCTCTGAACCTGCATGTGGATACCGTGTAGGACTGCTACAGCGATGCCCGCTTCGACCAGTCTTTTGCTGCTTTGGCTATCCATTGTAAGCCATATGGACCTCTTGACTTCCTGGCGCCAAGGATGCTGCCACCGGGTGTCTTGAATGCAGACGATTCTGCTAGAAGCCAGTTTAAATTCGTCATGACTTACCACAAAGATTGCGTTCAGATACGTGACGCGCAACCTTCTGGCAATTCCAATCGTGGATTTCGATGGCTCCTGCCTGGGAGTCATTGAAGCTATCAACAAGCTTGGAGATGGAGGCTGGGACGGTAGCGATGCTCCACTTGTGTCAGGAGGTTCCAGCACAAAGATGCCAGTGAGAAGCTGTCCTTTCTCAGCTTTGCAAGGCAAGGGCTTTGGCCAGGTTGACGAGATTCTCTTGGGGAACCTGGCAGATCAGGCAACCAGCAAGATGCCTGTAAGACTGGCATCGTCAAGATGCAACGCATGGCCGTGTCGTTGCAGGTCTCTGTTGCCTTGCACAATGCAGAGTTTTACAGAGCTGCCATTGTCACTAGCGAGCGTGCAAACGTGCCACAGCTGCAGAAAGCATCAGAGCAGCAAGATCCTCAGCGAGAGCAGCGGACTCATTCCAGGCATGCATGTTTGCCCATGATGCATTGAAAGACATAAGCACGATCCTGACTGCTGCCGCTCTCTGAAACACGAGGCATTGCTGCAAATGCTGCAGTCTCTGACGCAAGGTCAGGAAAACCCTGCACACAGCACAGCTCGATTCAACGCTTCGGGGCGCATGAGCAGGCTTGGGGGCACAATCCTTGATCTTCTCAGCCTGAAGCCCAGACTTGTGCTATCTTGCCGTAAGTGGGTAGCCGGTAGCAGAGATCTGCTGTTGGCGGGGATGGAAGGATTCCTCTGAGGGGGACTCGGGAGCAATGACTTTCACTAAACTCAATGTCTTGAGGTTGCAACGCATGCCTCAACGCTGGTGCATGCCGACCGGTGCACGGTTTTCCTTGTGGATGACAGGCCCGAGGATCTCATCGCAACATCGGTTCTTGCCGGGTTTGAGCTTGTTGCGGTTTTAATGGTTGTCCGGTTATCCTGTCGGATTGCAATGGGTTGGGCTGCTGGCATGGCTCTCGAAGAGCAGGCAATATCCAATGAAGCTGTCTACCGAGTCGTTTAATCGTCGTTCCCCCCAGCCATTCACATCCCTGTTCAGGGCAGGCGAGTTGATCTCCCACACCACGGACTCTGCACAAGAAATTCGGAGTCTTGGTTGCTTCCACTTTCACCTGATCCCAATGCTACTGGAGCCTGTGCTACCGCCTCCGAGCCCTTGTACTCTCAGAGCATTGATGACCCGAATTGGCACTACTCAGGATTCCAAAAACAGTTGGGATAGCGGGCGAATGCGCAACAGAGAATAAGCTCATCGTGATTGATGACGCGCAGCTTGCCTCGTTTTTGCTTGTTGGGGGCTTTTGGCTGTGGTTGCTGGCCATTGCATATTGAAAGACTTCGCCTTTGCTCGCTTGGCGTCCTTCGGATTGAAGTTGAAAGGTTGACTAGTACAGAGCAGTGGCAGTGACATGAATGAAGCGTGCAGTTGATGTCCTCTGGAAGATCCACCAGGTATGAGGATGCTCGTTTCGACCCAGAGTTTGATCAGCGAAGTGGCGGGTGACTTAGTTTCCCCACGATTGCGGTTGCCATAAATGTTCTATTTGCTTTCACAGTTGAGGCTACCGAACACACAGCATCATTGCAGTGCCGGTGAAAAGGCCGGCGGCAAAAGACAAAGCTTGTGCCGTCATTCAGATGAATCTCGTCTGGCAATTGAGCCGAGACACTTTGTAGTTTATTTGGCTCTGGCCCTAACGGCAGGTCTTCGATCTTTTTGCAGGTCACAGCCAACGGCATGCAACGGCATGCAACATGCGCAGTTACTCTCCATCCCTGTTGTCGCGTGTCCATGGAGAAAGAGCATGTCCTGAGCAAGCAACAATTGAATGTCAGGCCCCCGGTTCTGAACCTTGAGGTTCAGGGTTGGCTTTGGAGCCTTGGAGCTGCAGAGCTCAGCATGGATCCCTTTGCGTGACTGGTGTGTAATCGATGCGCGACATTGCTTGGCTGAGGATATACGTTCAGAAGCCTTTATGTGTTCAGGGAAATGTGCAGCAGCTGGGCGGACTGGAATTTGTTTGAGATCCAAAACTGGATGCGCAATGGGTTGTTAGTTTTCCTGCTGCTTTTAGCATTTTCCTCCACAAGCAGTTTGAGGCCGACATATCATGGCCCACTGACCGCTGGATTAATGGTTTAAAGATGCAGATGAATTCGGCTCCTAGATGTGTGTCTGTGCTGCAAACGACACAGACTTAACTGTCCCTGCTGCCGTCTGCACCGAAGTCTTGCGAAGTGTCGTAGCAGCTTTGTCTGTACTCTGCACATCGTTGCACCACTTTTAGGGCGCTAGAGTGCAAGACAATCCATGTCTGGCATCGTCAGGCAAAAGTCAGGTTCGCAGGCATCTTGCTCTGTATGCCGAATTCGAATCAAACCTGCCACCTACAAGTTCGCATCGGTAACAATCCCGTGCTTCCCAATTGCCTTGTCGCTGTAGGGGCGCTCGCAGGAGAAGAGTTGCGAGCCCTGTTTGCAGCTGTAGAAGCACGAGCAACAAGGGCACTCGGCAAACACCGTTTGTTGCAGACTCCTGGGACGTTTGACCACTTATCTCTGCTGGGGGGAAGGGGAACAGGCATGCCAGGGAAAGAACGACGACGACGGAGAACTCGCAGAATGTCGAGGTAAGCCTTTGAAGACTTCCAGAAAGAGAGAGAAGAAAGAACAGGCAGAAACCGGCTCCTAACCTGCCAGCTTGGGGCCTTGTCGAAGTCCCCTGGCCTGAATTACACACCGGAGAACATCTTGAGGATCAATAAGAAGGAGTTTGACGACGAGATCGGCAAGTTCGATGAAGAGGATGTACAGGCTTTCGGCGGCAGACTGTCGACGGTTCTGTGCGCGTGCTTTTGTGAAGAGCAATGTTGATTATGCTCGTGGCATGGATACATTCTGAATGCAGCGGCAGACTCGGCTTGCGTCAGGTCCTCGAGACGTATGCCATGTTCGTGGCTACGCAGCTCGCGCAATCGACCCTGGTCACCCGCGCCATTCGGCAAAAGCGGATTCAGAACGGACAGTGTGTGCGGGTGTTGGACCGCTTCGGTTCTATTACGCTTGTTTACTGGCTGGGCATGTCACTGTGGCAAGGACTCTTCGAAGGCACGGTGCACATATGCTTGCGAAGGTGGTTTCTGACTGTCTTGACAGCAATCTTGATTAAGAATGACCCTGCCGATCTGTTATGTGAGGTACCAGCATGCGAGGAAGAGCAGCAATTGCAAGAGGGTGAGAGTGGGTCATATTTCCATAGTTTGACAACCCAACGACGTGATCCCTATCCGAACCATTGGCCCCTTTGATCGGCTAAGCTGGCCTCACACTGTTCTTGCTCCATGCGCGAACTTGCATTATTTGTGACCGATTCTTTCCTCGTGGCCTGTGCTTTCGTTTGTTGATTGTCTTGGCGGCATCTTCCGTCGAATTTCCACCAGCTTGGCGGTGGTTGAATTTCCGATGTAATATCAGCAGCTTCCGCGACATGCCTGTTCCACTCACTTTGGCGGCTTTCCACTTCCGCCCTGTATGCGGGTGAGCTTAATAGGACTTTGTCGGAATCTTTTAGCACGTTTGTGTACAGACTTGAGGGAATCGACAGCACTGTTTGATCTGTTTCTTGCCGCGCCTATTGCCTACTGTGACTAGTCTAACATTTTCTTCTTGAAAAACGTGCACTGTCCGCAAAGCCAAAATCTCCCTTGAAGCGCATTGACGCGAAACCCGAGGCTGCACAGTTGCTGCATCTTACTGTAGACTTTGGCGAGCGTGCGCCTGAAGTTGTTGGAACGTGCGGATCACAGGGCTTTAATTCGGGCGAAATTTCGGCAGTAACCTTTAGCTGTAGGCCACGGTCTCCAATGATAGCCAACTTGCCGTCTCAAGACCATGAGAGCTTGGGGCAGTGTTCACGGCCGGCTCGAGCGCTTAGCCCCGAATGACGAAGTCTACAAGCAAGGTCAGCATGATTTACCACAGGTAATCCAGCTATCACCAGATACTGCGTTGACATCAGCGTTCAGAATGTGCAGGGCCCTGGCAACTACGAGGAGTTCATGGGGCGAGCAGACAGCGACGGGCATAGGCGCCGTGGCTGCATGAATTTCAAGTCGCACGAGACGGGCAAATTCGATCAACCCACTTGTGCAAGAGGCTTCTCTCGTTTAAGGTGTTTTCTAGGACCGAGGCTTCGCCCACTTTTGACGGCTTTGATCAAATTGTGGATCAGTAATGGTGACGAGCGTCAGGAGTTCATGGAAACTCGGATGAAGCTTGTTGTTGGAATGCAGCTCCTAAGTGCTTCGTGACTTCGTGAATGAATTGGCGCCGCTTGTTGACGGACTTTCAAAAACTTGTTCTCGCTATTCTGATTGAAGGCAGGGCATCAAAGACTCATTTCCTTTGGGTCTTGTGGCTGTCTTCCCGGTGTTGGAAGGAACGACGAAGTGATGCGAGGTGGACATGTAGAATACACTATCGTCTACAGGGCAGTTTTCAGGAAGGAAAACATGAAGCCACACACGCCCAGGGAGCGCTCCGGATCCAAGCAGGCCGGCGTGGATCCACTGTCCAATTCCAAGTGGCCAGCCTTTGCAGTGATTATGCTCTGGTTTGGAGGATTTTGCGATTGAGCCCGCGCGCGCGGGCGGTATTTGAAATCAGACACTCAGACACTCAGACGCTCAGACAAACCAGACACTCAGACACTCAGACGCTCAGACACTCAGACGCTCAGACAATCAGACGCTCAGACGCTCAGACCAGACGCTCAGACACTCAGACGCTCA